TGTATTTTATTTTATTTGCCAAATATATCAAAAATGTAAACAAACACCGAAACAGCTGATTGCAATTCAGTAAGCCATTCACAATTGTACAATTGTTTATCGATTCAGTTCCGCAATACCAAAATAAAATATGATCGACTCAATAGAAAAATTTCTATTCTACTGCTAATCGACACTCGCAATAGGGGTGTTTATGTTTCTAAGTACAAATTTAGAGGATGCTCATATTTGACTCTAGAAGTATTGAGTACATATACATACATATTAATAAAGCAGTTAGTTAAGAAACCTAAGAACATTTCAAATTTAAATTATTTAAAAAAAAATCACCAATACTTTTGCCAGTTTCACAGCGATCCTGTAGCGCATTTCAAGGTTATTGAGCACCCTGTATTGGTTAGAGTACAAAACTGAAAGTTGATATAGTACAAATATCAAAAGGAAAACTCCGAGGGGGTGTCCCGTTTTCTAGGAAGAAATTTTTTTCCCCCCTCAAAAATTGGACCACTCAAAGGCACAAAGTAAATATGTGATTTCCGAGATAGCAGCTATAACTTCTACCAAAATGTAAATTAATGTTGTTTTTCCACAAAATTTTAATTAAAAAAAACCGGCATCAAACTCAATAAAATTGTTGAACTTTTTTTTTTTTAATAAGCTCTGCTTTTTGTAATTGATAAGTGGATAACAAATTTGGTTGATTTTTTTTTCAATTTGGTTGTTTTTTCTTCAGACTTTGGTTGGTTATTTTTATAACATGTGGCAACCGTGGCAAAGAGTCTGCTTAACGTCATCATTGTTGATTTAGCGATTTCTGTAAGTTTGAGTTTTTCTCTGCCTCCTTGCAACGTACGTATGTATGTATGTACGGCTAATTTGAATATAAAGTGTTGCACTCTCAGCTAACTGTGGCAATGGGAAGTTGCTGTTGTTGTGTATGACTTTGAAGGGGTTGTACAGTTCAACGGAGTCACTGCAAACAATTTTGCATATGCGTTTTTTTTATAGGAAAATATGTATGCAATCTTTATATACATATTTATAACTGCATATTTATACCCACATGCACGCGCGCATATGTGTGTGCGTGAATGTATGCAAGCCCAGTACGGAAAGAAACTAGTTTAAATATTGATGTTCAACCAGTTTTTTATCCACCACAACTAGTTGGAGATCTGATTTTCTTCCTTGGAACGAACTGTTGACTTTAACATAGCGATGTCCTAGAAAGCTGTCAATTATCCATCCGACTCTGCATTTGATATCAATTACTTTAAAATGCATTTGGCTTAGAGCACTTCAAAGTCAGTATGCTTCTTTTGCAGTTTTCAACCTATTTCAAATTACTTAGTATTAAATGCTGAGATAGTTTAATTGCCCAAAGCTAAATGATTTTTCAACTAATATTGAATTATGCATTTGCAATGATATCAAAAGTGTATACTGCGCCAAAAGTATAATGGTTTTTTCAACCGAGTTTTTGTTTGATTTTTTCATGTTATTTGTTGGCTTCCAGCAGGTTCGAGTACGAATGCTGTCAGCGGCAACTCATAATTTTTGTTTTTTTTTCTGTTCTTTTGTTTTTCTTTATTACGAAAAAGCATCTGTAAATTGCATAACCGAATTAAACGACGAAGAAAAGTGATTCAAGTTGAACATTTAAAGACAAATTTATAAAGCGGTTGTAGCTGAGTGTGTAGATATGCTTGCTGTTATTTGCTAATCCCGTCAGAGGCAACGTGTTAAAATGATTATAAAAATGTTTGCTTTGCATGTCCGAATTATGAGAAAGCATCTGCGCAGTGCAGAACATAAGCGTGTTCAAACGAAAAAATCGCCAACCAAAAGTTTGGTTAATGTAAACAAAATTGTGGTCAATATTACCAAAACATTGTTGAAAATATCAACCAAGGCATTGTTAATATTAACCGAAAATCGCGTTGATTACTTTTTAAGTTTGAATTTGGTAATGTTAACCAATTTTTGATTGATTTTTCTCTCAGTGTAAACCTTTGGTTTATATCAAGGAGGCTGCTAGGTGATTATACATCAATTTGAAGTTAGTTGCTACATAAGTAAGTAGAAATAAATTACTTTTTCTGAGGTAATTGATTGAGCTACGCCTTACTGGAAGGATATTGGATTGCCTCAGCATCTCATAAAATTTGGTGTATTTGGAAATGACAGATTTAGGCTTCTCTAACAAGCACTTTTTTTTCATTAACAAAGTTTATTGGTACTTAAAGCATCATTAACTTCTCGGATATTTCCTGGAGTTTTAAGTTTCAAAGTAGGTAGAAACATCCGCCTTCACTTCCGCATGCAAAAGACGGAAGACTGAGAGAGAGACTCCGGCCTTTGACGATCCTTTTTTTTTCTAGGCGCATCTTGCTGGTCTCTAGGTTCTTTATCAGCGAACAATAAAATATCCTCTAAATCTTATGGAGACTTCCAAAAGTAGATTCATTAACAAGATCAAGTGGTTTGAAGATACCAACCAATCGTGACAGTAAATAATATCAGAGATTCCACGGAATTCCTATAAAAATGGCGCTTAAAGCGCTTACTATGTACTGAGTCCATGGTTAGACATACATAGCGACTATATTTTTTATTGTGGCACATTCGCTTGTTTTGGACAGACGATTTACAGTTAATGAAACAACAGATAGGGAAACTCGCAAAGCGTTAGACAACAAGACAATACTCGAACTTTGCTTGCTGAAATCGGCTGAATCTTATTTAAGTAGACCAGACCAGTCTGGATTCTATTTGAGGAAATGTATCCAGCGGAAGGATGGATATCCTTGTGCGAAATTTCCTTGGCGTTGTTGAATAAATTTATCTAATTAATCGAGTCAGTATTTTGCATATTATGGTCAGTCCAGGAGCTGATAAGTATATCCATTTTTGAAATATCTATCCAGAGGGGATCATCCCGGTTAAGTTTTCTTAAACAAGGACCGATCTCGGTCATGTTAAGGAAGCGTGTTCAGCACCAAACGAGTCTTTCTTACTATAGTTTATCATCGCCAAGTCCTGTTTTAGTACATTGCAAATACACATACATACATATTTACACTTACACATGCATCTCTATCTAAGAATTGTGCGCTCTTTAGCAGAAACACTCGGAAAATATGTCAACTGCACT